TATTTCAATAAAATGCATAAAAAAAATAAAATTGAAAACTACACAAGAGTTACCTTTAAGTGGTAACTTTTAGGATACCAATGAAAGCTAAGAATACATTTTGAAAATCAAAGGGATTAGGATAGTTTAGACAATAAAATGGATTGAAATGAAGTATTCCTAGTAGAATTAGGCCAAAGCTAGAACTGAAGTTTGGGGCCCATAGAACCATATCTGGTTTATGGTGTTATGTATCTAAGTACCCAATTTAAGTAGTTAATGGGTTGCCAAATTTAATTTAGAAATGTAAAGGATTGTGGCTCTATTTCCAAACAAAAATTAATTATGAATGTAGGTGGAAGAATCTTTTTGTACCAGGATTAATGACTGGCAAAGAATAACAATTTAAAGCACACAGAAATTAAAAACAATGAAATGGATGTTTATGTGTGTGTGGGGGAAAGAAATGGATGTTGTGGGATTTTGGGGTAGGGTATGAGGGGGGCTAAAGGAGACTATATGTGACATTCTTTACTTGTACCTTTTTTTCCAAACAACTTGAGACAGTTTGCTTTGCCCTGAATTGTTTTCAATCATGCACTTTAAAGAAAAGGGAACACGTTTCAACAAATGCAAAAAATACTATATATTCACTTGATTCCTAGAAAGAAAAGGAGGGAAGGAAAGAGAAAGAAACAGAAAGACAGACAGACAGAAAGAAAAGAAGAAAAGAAAGAGGGGTAGTGTTATCCTAAACTGTGGCGTTAGTGTTTTCAAAACATTTTACTTAATTCCCAAACACAAAAAGCAAGGTAAATAGTATAACCTCCATTTTAATGCATGAGGCTCTCCAGGCATAGGCAGTGCTGTTATTTTGCCCAAAAGTATAAAATTGGAATGGCAGCCTGGCACAGCACCTTGTGTTCTTTCCAGCTCACCACACAGAAAAGAACATGGAGGGCAAACTTAAGACACCAAAAGCATCATTAGAGGCACACAGGAACAGAGCAGGAAATATACATGCTTCCAAGCAGACCTATAAACACTGGAGAAAACACTCTTACTTAATGAAGTAATATCAGATCAGAGTATATTTTTCAAGTATATGTTATAAAGATTTTTAAGGCCAGTTTTCCTACCCTTGGCCAAAACAACAACAACAACAAACAAACAAACAAAAACTGAATTGCTTCTAGTAGCTTAGAGAGTTAATGAAATTTAACTTAGGAAGAACTAAATTATTCTACCCCAAATTGAGTGGTTCATAAGACTTATTAGCCCATGAAAGCTATAAGAAATTTAAGACTGATGGAATTAAAATCTAGAGAAAAGAAGGGTAATATTCATTCAGACTGGCTTAATAAAGCAGAAGATAAACCCATTACAAAGAAAAAAAAAATTGTTCTATCAATTGTCAATATACAAGATTGTACTTGATGCAGACTTAACCCCTGGCTAGCTTCCTCACATATAAATGACCACAAACATGGGAAACCTAGTTTGCACGATCCCTTAGATGCTAATCCTTAGAACATTACACATAATTCAACTTTAAAAATGACTTTAATAAATCAAGTATAGATTTATTGTGATTAACATTAAGTCAGATTATTTACTAAATGAATTAAAGGAATGAAAGGGAAGTTTTCAAGCCTCAGCATTTAAAAAAATTCAGTTAATAGAACTGGCAGGATTGCTAAATTAGATTAAAAAAAAAAAA